ACAAGTGCTGGAAGAAGGGAAGGGAAGGGAAGGGAAGCGCCCAGCTCTAGCTCTCAAGCCTCTGCTATTGCTGCTGCTGCTGCCGCGCCTTTACGCAGCGCCTTTCCAGCGCAAGAGCGGCGGTCCAGGCTTTGACTAAAATAGGCAGCAAGTCAGGCGCCACTCAGGGGTCAGAAGCAGTCAAAAGGGGGGGGGGACTGACAGAGACCCCGACTGCGCAAGCGCACCCAGACACCCCCCCTTGCTCCCGCCAAAAAGCCCCTTCCATGGACCCATGGTCTCATTTTGGGACACCCGGCTCTCCAAAGCAGAGCCTTCTTTGTCCAAAATGTCCCTTCCTAATTTTGCCTGGTGTGGTGGTTTGAGGGTTGAGTTGGACTAGGGCTCTGGAGAGCAAGGTTGGAATCCTCATAGAGTGCATTAGGCAAGTCACACTCTCTCAGCCTCAAGAGAAAGGCAGTGGCAACCCTCCCCTCTGAAGAAACCTACCAAGGAAACCTCATGATAGGGTCGCCTTAAGTATAAAAAGGAGAGCCAGTGTTGTTTGAGGGTTGGACGAGGGCTTTGGACAGCAAGGTTTGAATCCCCATAGAGCACACTAGGCAAGTCACACTCTCTCAGCCTCAAGAGAAAGGCAGTGGCAAACCTCCTCTGAAGAAACCTACCAAGAAAACTTCATGATACAGTCACCTTAGGGTCTCCATAAGTATATAAAGGAGAGCCAGTGTGGTGTAGTGGTTTGAGGGTTGGACTAGGAGTCTGGAGAGCAGGGTTCAAATCCCGGCTCGGGCAAGGATACCCACTGGGTGGCCCCTGGGCAAGTCCCACTCTCTCAGCCTTAGAGGATGGCCATGGCCAAGTCAACCCCCTGTGAAGAAACTTGCCAAAGAAAACCACGCTAAAGTCACCTTACCATATGTCGGAAATGAGTTGAAGGCAACAAGAACAACATGAGCCTCTCCTGTTATGTAGCACCAGCCACTTTCTGAGCTACTGCTCTCCTCTCCATACTGGAGAAGTAAGACCA